CATGGCATCAGCATAGGTGCTTTCATTATAAAAGCAATATCTGCAATCATGTCAAGTGTCCAACTAGATTTGACGTATTCCTTTACTGTGAATATCCTTAAGTAACTTACATAATTATTCATAGCCTATTCCTATTCATCGGATTAACCGCACCGAGACCGATCACTGCACTTTCAACCGTTGACGACAAATTCTGCAGACAATTAATTGTCTAAAAATTACGCTATATCGAATTCATAAATCAAGCCAGAACTGCTGTGCAGCGGAGACGTGCAGAGACAACCATTTCCGGTTCGATAGTTCAATTCTGAACAGTGTTTGATGAAATATGACGATTTGTTGTATACATGACGTATTGTTAAGTTTAGAGTGCAGAATGCACTTTCAGTTGTTCAGGACGATTACCATAAACTTAACCCGCAGATGGGCGGACAATGATACTGATTCGTTCATGACATTAGGTGGTAATTCCAGAGCTTTGCATCAATTATCATCCTCAATGAACAGCACGGTAATGGGTAAGATTACGTGCCACCATACGAACCAATGAGAAACGTTTTTTCGATCTTGTCTCTAGGCATTTTTAAATAGTTCAACGCCGTCACAAATAGCAGCTGGTCCAAACCCCAATCACCTTTTCTAGTGATAATGATTCGTCAGTTTTCAACGATTTAATAACTGATTCATTCCACTCAACGTTTAGTCACATCATTCGATCTGATTTGGAATAACTGACAAGACAAGGAGGGTAATTAGTACTCTGTCTGAAAAAAGTACTCGAACGAGTGGCTGACGGCTTCGCCATGTACACGGCTACTGTCAGAATGCATAAAATATGTAAGCTGCCTCGAGTGCATTATAAGTCACAGAGGACACAACGTCATACTTTAAAAATGCGCAAGGGCCCGTGAAACCAACAACGGTGACTTTCATACAAACAAAAAACCGAATTGATATAAATCTTCATTGTACAACGTAAAGTATCTACAGGTTCAAGCAAGGTGATGCCTTCGCCACTCTGTTTAGCAAACACTGGTCGGAACAACTTCGGCAGCCGGACAGGAAAAGTTTTAGACAAATGACAGTGACCACGACGCACACCAGCTTACGTGTTAAACATAAGCGAAAGATCGGGCGTTACCTATTTTAACAAACAACTTTTCATTCACCGCGTAAACACTACAGATACATTTATAAACTGAAAAATAAACAATAAACAATGGCTTTGCTGATTGTGACCAACTGTACGCACGGTGGCAGCTAAAAAATCTTACTCACCATCGATTGGTTGCGCAGCCTGGATAAGGTCTAAAGTTTAACAAAATAAAACGATCGATCCAATCGGAAAAGTTGACCCCTTGACTGATGTCTGACTGTTACAAGAACAACATAAGATCGTATCGACACTCGAAAACGATATGTTCTGATTACTGTGTTCGTTACACAAAACAGAGATCCCTCACACAAGACACATGGTCATTCGTTCAGCCGTCAGAGGTGAAGAGACGTGAGGCGGTGGCGATAGCTGCATCGACTTTACTGTGACGTGACGGGTTCAGCGGTGGAAGCGACAGGCGGTACGGAGGCAGTTGAACTGTCTGACTTTGGGGTGGGGTTATTTCGTTGTACTTGTTGTTGTTGCTGTTGTTGCTGCTGCTGCTGATGTATCTGGTGTGAGAGCATATGCGCCGCTGCGGCTGCCTGCTTCGTGCTGGGAGGTGTTGACACGATCCCGGGACGGTTCAACAGCGTAGGACTTTCGGCGGCCGACGACAAAGCGGCCATCAGCGGCGGCACCGCGGGGAGGGACGTCGGAGCTTGAGCGGCCATTGTAGCCAAGAGACTCGGCGGATATGGAATAAAGCCAGGATTTGGAGTCACGACGCCGTTGAGTCCTGTAACAGAAAAATATGTAGCTAGTCAAACGAAGGGCAAATTGCGGCAGCATTTGTAGCCTTTTTTATAATGCGGCATTACGGGCTCAATTAGGAGCAGTACACTAAAGAATCTCATAAACTAGTTTGCAACAACAGTATGTCCGACAAAATGCAAAACAACTTGAAGAATAAAAGTTCGAAATTAATGGTTGTAGGTATAAAATAACATTTCGAAGTAGTCAAGGTTTTATACTTGAAAACATCTACAAGAGGCGCAGAATTTACGAACCTCGGATGGTTATTAACAGAGAATGGAAGATGCACCCGTGACGCTGAGAAAAATAAAAAACAAAATGAGTCAGCAAAACAGTTACATGGGGATCGGAAGGCAAAGAAAAGAAAAAAATGCACAAAGACGACGCGATATCACAAACCTTAAGACCGAAACAACTGAAGACATAAAAACATAATACTGTCGGTTTCAAAGTGTTTTCAAAGACGTATATTTTGCACACATACAGCACCGTATTGTTACACCGCCAAAAGTCATGGTGAACTTTTCCTTCATCTTCATCTTCCATCGCCGCTTCTCCTTTCGGGTCGCGGAGGCAGACGCGCCAACGTTCCCGATCCTGTGCCAGAGTCTGAGCTTCGGCAAAAGACAATTGCAGCCTGGAACAGATTCCT